TTATGTCTTGACCACGTCTCATACGAGCGGTTGCATAATGTTTTTGTTAAACGTTTTTTTTTTCACATGAATAATCTGTCCTTAAACTCTTTGATGATGGCTGAGAATGGACTGAGGACAGAGAGATTGTTTAAGGGCCCCACTAATAGCTGCGCTTGTTTGAAGGTACACAACACTGACTGCTCTATTTCTGTCGTTCACTGTAAAGTGAAACAAGTGGTAAACAGAGATTTCCGGACCTCTGCCTTCTTTACGGTTATGTACAAAATTCATACAATTGGTACGGGTCTTGTCTAAAGCTTTCTACCATGTTGCACTTCCAATGCGTTTTTGTTGTGTGCTGATGTTTGTATGAGCACGGACTCCACCAGTTGAAGGGGGGTCTCTAGTACCGGCACTTAGGCATAACACCCACGCGAGCACCATTCTACCAGTGTGCTGGGTCATTGATTGACCCATCCCTGCACTCAAGGTGCGGCCACATCATCGCTGACCTTTTAAAAAAGGGAATCGCAGTAAATTTTTGAACTGGCAAGCAGAAACGCTGTCTAGGGTTGCAGACATTCTCACCAATTTCTCGTATACAATTATTTGATATGGTTTTGTAATTTTGATTGAATCAGGTGATTTCATAAAAGCAATTGAGTTGGTCGTATTGATAGCAAATGCATTGATGGACTTAGTACTGTTTAGATGAGAAAAGAACTCTACTCTTCAGCACAGTGGAAGGAATTAAAGGAACAGAAATGTTGCCTCTTGATATGTCGTTTGTGGATTGCCTTCATAGTATTTGGTTATATTTTTCCAACCACTGTTTGCCTTCTTTAAATTCGAGCTACTATCTCGTTTGCCTAGCAAGTGGCGGATCTGCACGTTAATTATGCCTCCTGTCTGTTCGATGACTTGTTAGTCGTATTGGGCACTCTCACTGATTGAGTGATTGAAGCACTCCTATAAATTTAACTTTTTATGAGCCATCCTACCGCCTTACAGTGATCCTTCTGATTCACTTTTTAGGCCATCATCACGATCCTACTCGGAGTTCCGCGATCAATTCATGCTATACGTCTTTTATATACGTAAGTGTTACTTCATTTTGCGATACTCTCATAGCAGGCCTTGCTGAGGCTACAGTCGTCAAAAAGCGGTTGGGATAAGGGTAGCAAAGGAGCCTGAGTGTTGACAATAATCTTTGCGCTGATAGGAATACCATAGAGGCGCTGTGCCACTATTTACATAAAAGGTGTCAAATGTTGCACTTTCAAGGTCGTCACATTCCTTCTGAGTGCGAATTTTCTGATAGTCCACCAAAGCATATTGTTTTCCTGATTCTACCTTTACCAGGTTTCGACCATGCCGTGGTCGTATCTGGGTTGTGGCGTCGCCTATACATGTCTAACCAATCACAGTCGCTTATTTAACTATATCTTTAATAATAGTTTTGATTGGTGATTAGTTGATGGGTGGGCGAATTTGGATAGAAGATTTTTATGCCGGCGGAAGTCACTGTGATGCCGACAAGTCGCTTAAGTCTGACTTCCTCATCGGTAGATTAACATCTTCTTTTCCCCTACGAACTATTTCTTAATTTCTAGTCATTGTTCAGTGCATGCAGTATTACTATCAAATGGGCTGTCTGTACAAATTGAGAGCTCTCGGTGAAAGACCTTCCATGGATATAACTGTCGGTGAGTTTTCTTCATTCTTTGGGGTTGTGCCTCCGTTCATAGCCATAGAAATCCAACTACGATGCTTTAGTGCCGTATGTCGTGATATACATGGCTGCCGCGAAAGCACGCTCTCTGCCGGTTTTACTCAATGCAGTTAATCGGATGCATCCTTTTATGTTGATGTTAGATGGGTACATGTCGTGGATGTCAAGCCGGTTGTCATTTGTGCTAGTCTTCTTGCTCAGCGCGTACGCTTTCCAGATCCACAACGCCTATATTCTCTACCACATCTCACAAGCACCCTATTGCCAGGAGTGGCAGGTCAGTTCAACCTTCATTTCCTGTCTAACAGACCTCTATGAGAGGAGGAAAAGGAGAGAAGAGCTAGCATCTATTCATTTTGTTTCAGTTTCTACAACTGTAAATATTTCATGCCGATTTTACTAAACTTGATCATTCAGGTTGGAATGCATCTATGAAATTGTTTTTCAGTTCATTAGATTCCCGCGGAGGTGAGACTAATATGGAAACGGTTATCCTCGAGGAGTTCGAGGGATATTGACTAGGCGATCTTGATAGCGTTCCTTTTATTTACTTTCCTATAAGCAGTAGAGCATTTTTCAATTGAGGCCCTGTAACCAATTCTTATTCGAGCATTTCATCAAAATTTTTTTAGCGTTTTCGTCCTATTCAGCATAGATTGCAAATATTTTAGTCAATAGCTCTTAAGCTAGGAGTAAATGATGGAGTTTGGCTTTTATTACGCCCAGTGATGCATAAGTTCCTTGAGGCGCTCGATTGCTGCACCAAACAGTTCCGATTGATTTGTAGGTATCTGTATACGTCAGACCCGTTTCTTTAATACCGTAAAATTCTATAAAAACCACCGCGTAGATTCATCTCTGTGCTTGACCACGTTTGGGAAAGCTACAAACTGTGATTTCTTGAATGCGCGGACAATGGCAGTCCCGCAGCCCCTCATTCATTTTGCCCTAATAAAAGTGCATCAGTTCTCCAACACCTTCCTTAGGCATCTGGCAGCTGCTACTGTTCTAATTGTCTCACGATCCTGCTACAATCACTTTGTGCTTGCATCAGTTGCACTCGTGTTTAAAACAGTCCATAGTTAAAAGTTTGCATGCAACGCATTTTAGACGTGATCGTAGCGTTGTCCACTCGATCCAAGTCGTTTGACTTCATCATTCCTAACGTTTAATGCAGCCTTACACATTTTGAGGTTGTTTTACCAAAGCCAAACAATCAACTTCACTGCTATTACGTTTCCATGCGTACTTCCTTATGAGAGCAACATGCTCTCCTACCTTATTATGGTAAAGGAAATACTCCCATTCTTTCCAGCCAGCAGTCGTCGGACTAATCTACGCATTTGTTGCCACTGGTAACCTTCTCACCACACTAATGGTTGTGAAACAGAAGTTGGCCCTTCTAAATCCTCGTAAACGCGGCTACCTGAGCAAAAAGTACAGCACCAGCTTCCACTCGGGACCGAAAGGAGTATCCCAAGACTCTCGAAAAGAGGAGTAGCTGAGGTGTCCATTGAAGCCACCCGAAACGATTCAAGTCACTTTTTTGATTAATTAATACAGCCCACGTGTGTGTAGATTAATAGATACGCAGGTTTTATACTTTATCAATTAAATAATTTTTTTTCGAGTTCCAAGTCGCTACAATATACTTTACAACGATCTCCTCTGGAAACACAATGTATTTTTGGTATTTGTAAAATAGAATATTAACGCTCAAATTCACTTCTGCCGCTCGTCTCGGTTGTCCCTACTTTAAACTCCGCCTTAGTGTACGCCGACGAAAAGTTCAGCTGTGAAGGTCGCATCCGCCTTTCATTCAAATCTATGCAGACTATCTGACCTGGAGGTTCACTAATGGCAGAGCATTAAAATAGGAACAAAACTGGATTGAAGTGGCAATTTTGCAATGTTCTCCTGTGGGTAATGTGCAGTAAGCAAGCATTCGTGACAACCCACCTGGGGACCTATTACCGGCAAGTAAAGAATCAACCGATCACAATGAATAGCATCAGGTTTATAAGTCTGTCAACTTAGGAATCCTGCCGAACAATTCTGCCTCCGGTTACTCGGCAGGATGGATAACTGTAGTATCACAACAGGGATTCCAGGGCTTATTTAGACCTCGAACATCCTTCTTTGTTTGAGTAGCGCTGAATTACAGAAGAATGTGCTGGTAATTGAAGCGAATGGTTTGCGTCACTGAGAAGCAAGTGTATCGAGAGATTCTGGACTACCGTAGGTGTCTAAACCACTTGGTGTTAAACAAAGGAAAATGCAAGTCAGTAAAATACGTCATGTAACGAATGCCTCAGGGGATGAAATAGTACAATTACGAAACCATAACGTTTGAATGTGCAAAAGATACCCAGGAGGTGGGTCGAGCCAGTGCGCTGTAGCCGTCATTAGATAGAAGCGGTCGTCTTTCTGCCTCCACCTCCGCTTCGTCAACATCGAAGTGCTCCACCCGTGAGGCTGGTACAATTAAGTGGACAGACTTAGCATCAAACTAAGTAATTCTTGCGGAAAACGCTACTAGTTAGCCTCACCATCAATAATGAATTGGACGCGTGCCTTTGCTGACTCTAAATACCAGGAAGCGCAAAGAAGTAGAAATCCAGAAAGGATGCAAATGAATACAGTAATGAAAAGGGCTCGTTGCATGCCCAGGTAGCGTGACATCGCCGAGTCGGATGTTTGCTGGGCGTCAGCGATCTGTAAATTACAATGTTATGAACACAAGTTATACGCTAGAAAACCTAGTTTCCTTTGAACGTGTGTGCCGTTAGTTGTGATAATTAAGTGGTGTCCCCATGCTATGGAACTATCCATGAAACTGACCCGTCAAGGGGAAACAAACTTTGTAACTGCTAAGCTGAATTGGCGATCCCTTGACTGAGGCCCGCAACGAAATACATTCTGTTGAAACATTTACTGCGAGTGGACGAATAAGACTCAAAACGACGTCCCTCCGGATACCTTTCAAGCTTGCATCATGAGGGAAACTACTTTAAACTTAGCGATGCAATTTCACCTTGCGAATCCTTGGTATGCGATGCAACCAGAAAGAGCGGGTAGAGGACAAGGCATGGGCTTACGATGCCGATAACGAAGGGGCTGATGGCATCACCAAGGGCATGCGTCATGAGCATCTGAAACGCATTCGCAGTTGCTCGACGGGTGGGGATTACAACAGACTAAAAGGCGTAAAAGTACGGGGCATCGCGTTTGATTTCGTAAATGTTGCTAAGTTTGCAGATGAAAACTTTACGATTGGCAAGGTGTAGGCACATTTTTAGGTGTTTTATACTAAGGCAGTCAAATTGATAAACACAATGAATGCCAATTTCGACGCAATACGTACAATTCAATTCGATTGTTTACGCTAGCAATGCATGGAAACGTAAGTGGCAGGTAGGAAAACCGCATTTAAGAAGCGAACAAATTTCTGGAAGGAAAATAGTTATAATCCTTGGCAGGTATGCTAAACTTGAGATAAAATAAAATTAAGGTGGATGACAATAAAGCCGAAAACGCATAAGAGCATATACAATCATTACAACCTCGATGCTTATAGCATGAAACGGAGTGTTAGTGAATGCCGTTAATTATAGCTAAAGGGGCGCCAAAAGGGCGCTTAAAAACCCTGGAGAAAGATCGTCTACCTACCATTGTCATATCTGATATGAGAGGCCAATTCAGACAAATTAGAAATTGTCCAGCAAAGACGAATCCCTAAAATGACAATAAAGCACTGAAGTAAAACGTTGAATAAGCGCAAAGAATGTTCGTAATGTGGAGACTGATCAGAGTACTGTAAACGTGTTCAGTATAAAGCTTAAACAAGGACGGAGCCTCGGTGTTTAACTTTAAACCAACATACCAAGCATAGATAGAAACTGTAAAGTGGTGAGATAAGGCCCGCAAAGATAAAAGGGGCACTCAGAAGTAGACCTATCCCGCTGATGTAGGCATCAATACGACCCGAATAAGCTCTCAATCTCCGTGCCAATAACGAACCCGCAACGACACCCAGAAGGCCCGCAAGGCAAGCGCTCAGTCCAAAAAGAAGTGCTACGCTATAAAAAACATACTGTTCAAAATGCGTCAAAGCTAGATTGTTAGTCCTTGCAAACGACTACTCACGGGTAGTCAGAGGCGTTGCCACGACCTCTGGCATTTATGGCGTCTTGGATGTAGTCAACAGAAAACCATGCAAGGGCACCGAGGACGAAACAGTTTCCAGTAAAACCAGAACAAAGGAGCAAGAAGCAGCGATTGGATGAGAGGATTCGAACATCTGACCACCAAGAAGTAGTGTGTAGATGAACTGCATAATCAGCTAGTCCACGAGGCGGATCAGTATGAAAAACAATAAAGGCAAGCAGGCAAAATAGCCCAAGAGTAGGGGTGATGCGGAGAGCCCAGACCCAATTGCCGCTAGCATGTGCGATGGCAGAACCTAGAACGTAACCGAAACCACTGGAATAGCAGAATAGTTTATTTGGGCAGCCACTAACCTCCCCACTGGAACCGCAAAATAGAAAAATCCAAGGACGAAGGTTCGGGAGTTTCCAGTAAATAGATCAGTTAGAATAGTAGGAGCCAAAGTGGAATAACTAGCTTCACCAATGCCGACTATGCATCTTAAGGCAAGAAATAAACCAAAGCACTAAAATGCAATTAGTGATACATAGAAGTTACATTGGAAGGTACAAAAGAACTGCAAAGAGAGACCATGGACCAGATAAAAAGACCACTGATCATTATGTATTTCCTTTTCCATCTATCACCAAAATACCCAAATACGGGGCTCAAGAACATATAAGATATTATAAAAGAGGTCTGTAAAAGACCAAGTCCCTTGCTATCAATGTTAAAATAGGTTCTTATCATATCAGGAACACCTTAAAAAATTTAAAAAAATAACAGGATACAAACCAGCGATGGTAAACCTATCCATGTAATTAATGAAATTGACACAAAATAACAAAATGACAGAAGTAAGAGGCGAAGGACGAATTCCAAGCATTTGGAATGCAGCATTGCGGATTACATCACCATGGTTGCCACCACTTCCAAAATTTGCTCTATAAAATAACATCACTTTAGAAATGTACAGCCACAATTTTCAAAGAACTATGAAGCGCAGTGGAAGGATTAAACAAGAGTGAAAGTAAACGGTGATGGAACACCATATGGCGCCGTATCCCTGTAATACGGATAGACAACCAAAATAAAATTTAAGCGCACGAATTCAAACTTAAAAGACAGTAATAAAAAATTACAGAAAAAGTGCCTTTCGCATAGATAAAAACATAAAAAATCAAATTGTTTATAGGCAATAAAAAAGCTTAGCATTAAAAAATTATAACGTTTTTTGAGTAAGTGCCTGCAATATAAGCACGCTTTACCTTAAAAAAATTTGTTTTGATAGATTGTTTACTAGTTATGTGGATGACTTGAACGCACGCGGCTCTCGGTGCGGATCTCAACGTTTGGGCATCTTGTGTACTTTTTATCGCATATTCTAGTGATGGCGCTTGCAAAGCTGTTGAAACCAGATAAATCGCTGCCTACTCCTCTGGAAGAGGAAATTGCTGCTACTCTGGTGGACCTTCAATCACACGAAGATATGTCGGAGTCGGTTAAGATGCTTTACTTCTGTGGTGCGAAGGTAGTTATGTCATCTGGTTTATTTTCAATCGTAGGAATTCTCAATCGGTCACGAGAAGGCGATCGTCATTTATGTTCCCGTGCCTCAGCTACGTACTTATCACCACTTGCACAACCGCCTGGTTGGTGAATTAGAGAAGAAGCTGAGAGGTCCACAGGTCTTCATCGTCGCTTTCAGGAGAATTTTGCCTAAGCCGCGTAGAAAATGTAAGAGCAACCCCAAGCAGAAACGTCCAAGGAGCCGCACTCTTACGGCAGTTCACCAGGCTATCTTAAAGGACATTGTTTACCCTGCAGAAATTGTTGGTCAGCGTATTCAGATCAAGATTGATGGAAGCTCTCTTATTAAATGTCATCTTGACATTGCTCAAAGGAACTATGTGGAACATAAGGTAATCGGAATGTTGGTTTAACACCCCTTTAGCTCAAGACTATAACCGGTTTGTACAAGAAACTATCTGGAAAAGACGTGGCGATTGAATTTCCGGATTGGGTCCTGTAAAATAAAGTGCGATCGGTAGGGATGCATTCGTCGTTGTTGATTCTTTGCGCTCACTTTGGGTGGAAACTTGCTGACGGGACTCCCTGCGTGGGGGGTCACTTGGCGTCTTCGTCCACGTGAATTAACGTGGTTGGGTTCAGGTGGCGTTTGTTCATTCCCCTAGCCGGGGAGGGTGATGGTTTCGTTGGCGTGGGTGGTCTTCGGGGCAGTCGGCTGCGTTCTTCGTCGTTCGAGTTTAGCACGCGAAGGCGGCTTGGCTTTCCGCCTGTGTCGGTTTGCCCTGTGGTGGTCTCTTTAGAATTCCGCTCATTCAACGCATGGCTGTTGTGTAATTTTGGGGTGGTGTGTCTGGGAACAGGAAGTACCGATTGAAGAAAAGTGATTATTGCAGATGGTAGCTAATGCTCGGGAGTTCAATCGTCTTTAATTAATTTTTGCTTTGTTTTAATAGTTGCATTTGAACCCGCGAGTATCGGTACCGGGTTTCTCTCATTGGTGTTTAGGTGGGAGACCGTTGCGCTCTAATGCGTGAGATGTCTATGAACGAGCATATTTCCTTGTCTTACCTTAACCCTCATCTCATCTGCAATATATGCCATGGCTACTTAATTGACGCTGTTTCAATAACAGAATGCCTTCATCCATGTAGGTTTATTAACTCCCTTACCTGTAGTTTGTAAGTCATGCATTGTAAAATATTTGTCTACCAACAACACATGCCCAGTATGTGATATAACGATTCACCAAAGTCATCCTCTCAACTATATCAGGTATGCTAGTTTGACGCTATTGGTCATTATATAGTGCTGATCGAACCCTACAAGACATTGTGTACAAAATTGTACCTAATCTTAAAGAAGGTAGTTTCGCTTGCCAATATTTCGTTTAGCTGAAAGGAAAAAACGATCAGACTTTTACCAATCCATTGGCCAGTCTCCTCCTTCTTCTGAGGGTAATGTTCATTCTGCTTTGCTGTCATCTGCACATTTCGCGGAATGTAGACCTTATCTACGAGCACAAAACTCTTAGTATCAACACCGTGGTGGATGGATCATCCAAAGTCATCCAAGGTAGCGTACACCTGGCTGACCCTAATTTTCATCGCAACGACGAACAAGTTCATGTGAAACTAGAACCGGGTTCCGCAACTCTCAAGCCATTGAGTCTAAAATATCTTCGTATTTCTTCGAAGGCTACGGTCACACACCTTAGGAAGTATATAGCGCAGCAGGTCCTTAGTGATATGTCTAAGTTTAATGAGGTAAAGTTTTTGTTTTATTTAGTGTTTTAATCATTTAGATTGATATCTTCATTAACAATTGTGAAAAAGGGACGTTTTTGGGCAGAGACCATGTCCTCAAGTTCGTTCGAGTTGTTTATTGGAATGATGTAAGCAGTTTCTTACTTCGCTGATTTTGTGGATACATTTCTCTAGCTTTCTTTTTCTACTTATCAAACCTTTGTAATTAGACTTTTTAAAATACCATTCAGATTTTGAGACAATTTTTTAGGATCGTCCAATGCCTCTGGAATATCGTTTCAGCACAAAATTTTTGTAACTTTCATACTTCCACACTATATCGGATGATTTTTTGACAACTGTACAGTGTTCTTTTTAAATAAATTTTTCCATATACCGTCTGCCGTCTTCCTTCGAGCATCTTTTCTCACCTTGTTTCGGACCGGTAGTAGTTAGGAATGTCCAACTATTTTTAGGTTGACTGTATTTGCTTGGATAGTTCGCTCACCTTCAGCTAGAAAGAAATGGACGAATCCGGAAATCCGTTTACCGATCCACGTGCGGTCGGCTCGACTCCTTCGAAGAAAACTTCTCGCTTTACTACTTTTAGCGTTCCAGATTCTTATGATGGATCTACAACATCGACCAATTTTCCTCAATGTTGGTCTTATTCTGTTCATGTGAACTGATTATTTGTCCTACTGCATTTTAAGTGGCATTTCTGTCGGTGACTTTGCTCCCACTTTTACGCTGTTAGCAATGTTGAACTCGTAGCAGTATTTAGTGTGGTTTTATAATGGCTTGTGAATGTAGCATTTTTACATACCCATCGACGCCTTTCACGGAAATATTGTTTAACATGATTTAGAACTGCGTCGTTATGCGCAAACCTATTTGTTCTTCGATTGTAGCAACGAAAATTATTCGAACTTCGGCTTTTACCGACTTTGACACATCACAAGCAAACTCAACCGCTCGAAAATCTGAGCAGCATACTGTGCTGCACAAACCTGAAGGACAGCAATATGACGACTTTGAGACTATTGATTGGGTAAAGGATATCGCTTGCGATCGAGATCGTCACAGACGGATTCACTCGGACAGGGTACGATCCTCGAAACCCATTTGCTTTCACTTTAGTTTTTGGAATTGTGATCTAAATATTGTATTGTCCTAGTATATTAATGCTGTTTGTGGGTGCTGGTGTGTATGTTGTTTTTCGTTATCAGTGGCCATATTTTGATTGACTAATGGTGGAATTTATCACTTTTTTCAAGTATTTTGCCTATCACCATCGTATATTATTGTTTGTCTCAGTAAACTCCACACCTATGCCATCGAAAGGATTATTGTGCTCTTGGACGAGTGTAGCAATGCTAGACTAGCTTTGGGTACTATTATTATTGTGCAATTTTTTATTGGGCTCTGCTATATCTGCTCCTTAGAATACATTTCTTGGTTGCCTTCGGATATACTGGAATTCAGCTTCAGGCTGGGTTTGCGTGAGTCTTGTGGGGATAGCTGCAGGTTTAATCGCCGCTCTGATAGACATTGGTACACCCTGGCTCACCGATCTCAAGGAGGGCATTTGCCTCGACGCACTCTGGTTCAACCGTGCTCAATGTTGCTGGTCTTCCGCTGTTCCTGGGGAAGATTGTCCAGAGGTTATTCGACTGGCTTTTTATTTTTTCCGCATTGCCAGCTTGGTTGTTGATGCATAGATCAATATATAATCACTTCCTCGAAATCACCATGCCTATATAGGGTCCTTGATTCTTCAGTACTACGAACGTTGTATCAGAAGGCTAAACAATGCTTGCGGCTCCTAATGCTATTGCATCTATGATTGGTCTTAAAAAATTTTGTGCGTCAATTAAAAATTTTCAATTTTTCATACTTGGGTTGATGTTAAGATCTAATTTCCGATTGCATTTTCTCCTGACTTCGATCTTTGGATAGGAAAAATTATAGGTTGCCTTGAGACTGCATTAATTGGCGCCGTCAATACTGCATATTGATAAGTCAATCCTGAGCCAACTTTTCTGACGGCCTCTCTTCAAAATTTTGGTAACCTGCTCGGTTGTATAATTGTCTTAGTAGCAAGCTCTTTTCTCTATGTATTGACATCTAAAATGTACACATCCTTCACCGTATTTTGCTCTTTCAGTAGCCAGTCCGATTCATTCCAGTCATTTCATCATTTAACTGTGCACTGCCACGTTCGTCCTAATATAGGGCTTTTGTACAGTTTAAATCACGAAATCGATCATGATTTTTACTCTGAGGTGTAAATATGCCTGATTTTAAGGCCTCCATTTCAACCCAAGTGGTCAATTGATCATTCCAAGGGCCAAGAACTTTGCGTTGTGTGCTGCCCTCTACTCCTAGTGGTATTCATGGTCGCGATTGGCGATGAACAAAGACCCGACAGGTGATCACCCAGACGCCTACTTCGTTGCATACGTTATATTTGTTCTATGGGCTCTCGCGTTCTCCGCGTTGTGTGTCGCTTTTGTTCGGATGTTTGCTCCTTACGCATGCGGTAAGTCCTTTTCCACAAGCAAACAACCTTAAATTTTGTGCTTAACAAGTGTGATAAAGTATGGATACTTTACTAGCATAAGCCACTGATAACTGAGGTTATCATTGGTAGCGGGCTTTATCTGGAAAAAACCGCGTTTGTTTGGCATATTATTCATTTTTACGCCGTACTCTAGGGATTAGGCTTGTGCGGCAAACTGAAATTGAGTTATATTTGTAGGTTCAGGGATTCCGGAGATCAAGACGATTCTCAGTGGCTTCATCATTCGAGGCTACCTTGGCAAATGGACACTATTGGTGAAGTCTATGGGCATGGTCCTCGGTGTCTCTGCTGGTCTCAGTCTGGGCAAAGAAGGTCCCATGGTCCACATGGCCTCTTGTTGCGGCAATATCCTCTCATACCTCTTCCCCAAGTACTCTAAAAACGAGGCCAAGAAGAGGGAGGTACCAGTGCCCACACATATGCACAACCGTTGAATTTGCACTTACAGGCTTTGTATAAACGCACGTAGTAGCGCACCACTAATGGAATGTTGCTTTGTGTTGATACGCCACAAACTCCAGTTCCAGCTCTTTACGCGTATCCTAAAATGAAACTTGAGTGTGGAGGCTTATTCTGCTCACCGGTGCTGCTCCATGAATGGTGTATTTTCGAGCCAAAGCGGTGATTCGACTTATGGTTTACATCGGCAGGCCGTCATTGTTTAGCAAACCTTATTGCTTTTCATATAGTTTTTGGGCATGCTTGGTGTCTTCGTAAAACATCGACTAATGGTAACCACCGATTGGATGCATGTGAACTTGGTGACATTCGGAGTTGCGTAATTTAATGTGTACTTTCCGCATAGATCCTGTCTGCTGCTGCAGCGGCTGGCGTTGCAGTAGCCTTTGGAGCGCCCATCGGGGGAGTTCTCTTCTCGCTTGAGGAGGCCTCCTACTACTTCCCAATGAAGACCATGTTTCGGTCCTTCTTCTGTGCTATGGTTTCTGCCAACCTCGTGCGCATGATCAACCCCTATGGTGACGAGCATTTAGTTATGTTCCAAATTGATTACAAGGCGCAATGGCACATAGCTGAACTTATTCCATTCGCTATGCTGGGCATAATGGGGGTAAATGTCGTGTATTTACCCATCTATGAATGATCTTGTTGGTCTCACTGTCACTTTGATGGGTCGCATTGTAGGGGATTTTCGGAACACTTTTCAACCGGGCCAACCTCTTCATATGTCGATTACGCAAGACCACTTGGTTGGGCAAGCATCCGGTGCGCGAGGTGTTGTCGATCACCCTGGTAACAGCGGTCCTCTCTTATCCATTGCCCTATATGCGTATGAATATGGGTGACCTCATCCGTCTCATGGTGAGCAAGTGCGGGCCTGGTGATCTTGGCGCCCTCTGGTGGGTTTTTTTATGCTTTTTAAAGGTTTAGTCGTAAAATCGAATCTTCAGCTTGCATCCCGTCTTCCCATTTTTAAAAAAAGTGCTAGAAGAGTCATTCAAAGAAGTCTTTTGTGTGCGACAACGAGTGTCATAACTGTATTTGCATAATTTTAACTGAAGATGCATTAAGGGCTCTTTGCTCCTTTTGCACATCAATGCTACTTTCGTCCCCTGATTCCTAGTATATAAATTCCTACATGTTATAACGAGCTCGAGCGATGGATTCTCCGATTTCGCGTTGTTCAAACACAAAACGATGTTAAAACAACTTATTTTTTTTGCTGCGCTGAATGAAAGATTAGTCTGAAATTCGATCATGAGCCATAAACTGATGGCATAACAAAGTATTAACTTCTGAACACATTGTCGACACTTATTTGCCTTTTAAGCGTTTATCGAACTTTACCTTAGCTCATTGTTTATTCAGAAGGATAGGCTACGTGATGTCTACCATTGCGCAATGGTTTTGATAAGTGAAATTCGTCTAAACAAAAGTGATTCTTCACCGTTAACCCAATGTGGTTCTTTTTCGCTTTGCAACGATTTAGGCATATTTGCATTCACGCAGATTCATTGCCCATTCAAGATTAAGAATTCTTACCACTCGAACAACTAGTATATGCATTAAAATCATTAGTAGTGAAAGTTCATTCTCTGTGCCGGACCATCGCTTGTGCGTTTTTGCTCTCTCAATTGCCCTCAATCCTAGCGATTACAAGGTGAATCTGAGCGATTCACAGGCTGCTATGATGGGTAGTTATCCGGCGGGACCTGGCGTCTCCCGTGCCATGTGGATGCTTGCTGTTACACTCGTTCTGAAGTCGATCATTACCGTCTTTACATTCGGCATCAAAGTTCCTACCGGATTGTTCATTCCTTCATTGGCGGTACGTTAAGTTTCATGAGTGTAAAAGTGCCTACTTGTGACTTATAAGTAGCGTTTATGCTATGCACCCCTCCAAGGTGGGTGCCATGATGGGACGCATGCTGGGTGTTGGGATTGAACAGCTAGTGGTGTATCACGCAGATCACCCGCTGGTGCAACGGATGTGCAAATCCGCCCAACCTTGCATCAATCCTGGTCTCTACGCCCTTGTGGGTGCCGCTTCCACTTTGGGTGGTGTGACGCGCATGACCATCTCTTTGGTCGTTGTGATGCTCGAACTCACTGGGGGGTAAGCCGAGGTTAATTCTCGAGCTCCGCGATTAATTTGGCTTCTCTGAATGCGAAGCTTTCTTATATTAGCCTTACCTATATTTTGCCACTGATGGTTGCCGCAATGGTGAGCAAGTGGACAGGAGATCGTTTGACGAATGGAAGTATCTACGAGGAGCACATTCGACTTAATAAGTACCCCTACTTGAGCAGTCGGGAGGAGCTCACTCACACCTCTATTGCCGCTGACGTCATGCAACCCAAGTTAGCTTTACCTATGATCTCTTAAGCCCTCTATTGTTGTGACTTGCAGCAGTTGTCTAGTTGCGTGATTTTTGTCATTGTGAGTAAATGATTTGCATACCACAACACAGTCGACGTGAAAATAATGGACCCGTGCTTTTACTTAAGAGCACAAACATCTCCCCTGTTGGTGGTGACGCAAAACTCCATGACCGTTGGGGACATAGAGTATCTCCTTTCCTCTTCAACTTTCAAGGGCTTCCCCGTTGTGGTGTCGGAGGAGTCACAGTATTTGGTTGGCTGGATCACGAGACGAGATCTCACTCGTGCACTCGGTGAGTGGTGCTTCGGATATGGTCTTCAATCGCTTCACTACTTGACGTCAAGCCTATTTTACCGTCCATTTGGCCATCAAGCAATAGCTTTTATAGCGCATTGAAATCGGTTCATTTCTTTCTATCTAGTCATAACCTCATCTTTTTTTAATGCATTTTTTAAAATTCTTTTCTGGCGTAGACATGTGGGTGGCTCTAAACCTCATCCTTTAAACCTTACTTTAGAGCAAGAGAAACTTTACAATCCAGACGTTGCTACGGAATCAATGGTCTATTTTACAGACAGTAATAGTGCTGGCGACTTTGGTCTGCCCACAAATGTTGCGAATCTTTCAGCGATTGTTGATCTTGTGAGTCCGTCTTGCATCATTCGTATTGTCGATTAACTATTGCTTCACAATGATGGACAATCCAAATCTAGTAAACATTGTGCCTTTTTTTCCGTGAAGTTGACTTGAGTAAGTCATACTTTATCATGACTCTGTTGGATTTGCAATTTTTCATTGTGTTCTCCATGTGCCTCTTAGTCTCCAATCACTGTCACTGATCAAACGCCAATGGAGACTGTTCTTGACTTTTTCCGAAAATTGGGACTTCGACAGGTCCTGGTAACCAAAAATGGGTATGTCCAGGCACATCATCATTTTCATTTGCACAATTGCTTTATGTAATGGAAACTCGACTAGCCTAGATTTTCTGTTTTATTGAATTCGGCTGCAAGGTTAGTGCTGTCTAAAAAAGAAATTAAACCATCTCCTTCATATACTTCGAGACTTTGGATGCAGGCGTGGCAGTCTTAGAACACGGTTTGACCGTACTTAGAAATGGAGTAATGTGTGGTGGGACTCCCTCGATTGAATGAAAACACTTTATTAAGATACTCATTTCAGTCGTCTTGAAATTTTCAATGAATATTTGTGGAATTTTTTCAAACTATGAAACTTTTCAGATTGCATTGTGTCTTTGCATGTGAATGGTTCAAAAGGGCCATCAGGATGTTCTCAATAGCATCTAATTCACTTTGAGACTAGCACATAGGAGACAGCCCTGCGCAATGGCGCCATAAAGTAGTTTATGGTACTGCATGTTATTACCAACCACGCACACTCACATTTTCCTAAACCATTCACCTTTTAAGTAAGCACTCATTTCTCAGTGCACCTGGCTTCGCTCTTCTTGGTCATATTTCATCGCACTTAAGGAGATGGGGACACATTTAAGTCACTGGCGGAACGAATCAACGAAAATCGGTTATTGTCCACCTCTCGATCTTGTATGATGGGTACTTGTGAAAAACATCCTATTTTAATGTCTTGTACCGCATATTGCGGATGTCTTTTGGCTTTTGAAGTTCCAAGGTGCTCCAATTCCATTCCAATTAGGAATTACTTAACGCACTGCCGAATTATCATTCACGATAATAAATGCAAGTGTAGATAGAATTTTTTCAGTATCTTTTGCAAATGAACCGAAATTCATGAAAATTGTTGCGCTTCACGTTCTCCTTAACAATTTGATCCCTTGTTGCGCATTGTGTTCGTTATCTAGTGTCACGTTTCCATCTCTCTATTTACTTTGTGGGCCCTTTATTCACCATCTTCCATGTGGCTTTAGTTTATCTCTCGCACAGCGAAGGATTTTATTTTATGCTTTCTATGGTTCAGTTACCTTCAATTCATCTTTTTTTCCGTTTCTCATCAACTAGGCGTCTTCTGGGAATCATAACAAAGAAGGACGTCCTTCGACAAATGCATCATTCTTGGTGAAAACTTTCCATCTCTCTTCCTAAGGCCGGAATTCTTGAAGTCTTCTTTTTCTGCTTCTATTACCGTCCCCTCACATCCAATGCCATACCTACAATCAGAATTTCATTTTTACCGTCGTGGAGGTTTTCGCATATTTATTCATCGCCTTGATTCATTTAATTCTCACCAATTTTATAAGGCCAAATAAACATCACTGTTTCATCCTCCATCGCTTGGTCGCTCAAAATTATTAAATGGGATCATTTTTATGCAGTGGCCAGCATTTCCCACTTTTTTAGCACGAATACGTCGGTAGAATTGACATCCCTAGGGAAAGTACTTGGAAAATTCAAGTTCGGCCCCTTTTTTAAATTCAGGCTAGCAAAGAGCTGCGGTTAAACTACTTAAAATGGTTAACTTAGCTGTTATGAAATCTCTGCGTCGCATTATCGCCTGGTATGCCTGCTTTAGTCTCGATACTTCTGAGTTGTGAAGCCAAACTTACCTCTGAGGTTGTCTGAGGTCGGGGCTTTTCTGCGCTGCCGAAGGTTGAGTTTGAACAAGTAATGGGGCTATGACAGTGGTCATTCCCTTTCCTCTCCCGGTGACGGCATGTGTTTTGGCGGTGTGTAGTCATTTTTTGCGAGGGAATAGACGTCTAACGTGCTGCTGCTGGAACAATCACAATAACAATATGGCGGTTAGAGCCGACCTCAAGGGCACTACTCATTACCATGGTTACCTGCAGTTGGCCTTCCATGCAGTTTAGTTGGGTCTTAAGTTAACTCACTTGTCCTGAGCAAGATTGTCTGACTTCTTGAGTACGGCAGTACAGTCATTCAGTATTAAGTTCTACTTTGCTTATTTGTACCGGAAGACTTAACCGTCACATTGGGGCTCAGGTTTTTCGAGGTGGTACTCGTGTCGGAGAAGGAAGGGTAGATTTCGCAGTATGCGAGTATGCGTGCGTGCACATTGTTGTGTTCCGCCAATGAGTTCAGTCCACGTGTGCCTATTGATTGGCTCGCTCTCGCTAGAGGCGATTGCGTGCTGTGGTCCTTTTGGTGGCAGGACCGCGAAATAAACAATAGCTATTAAGTCACTGGTGCAGAATGAGTGAAGACGCAAAAGAGCCCCCTCCTCCTCCGCCTTCCCTCGATCCGGCTTTGGACTCTGCCGAACAGAGGACTAAGTGTTGTACCGTGTGCAATGGATGTGGCTGCAGTAAAACTATCCCCATGAAGGTGCCCATTGCGTTTCTAACGGCCCTTTGGGGTTTCCTCACAAATGTAGAACGTGCCATTATTTTACCTACTATGTGGCTCTATTTCAAAACCTATTGGAATGATCAAGTTGCAAGAACGTGGTATGGCTGGACCATGGCTTCGTTCAGCCTTTCGGTGCTTCTCTTTACACCTGTTTACGGTTATGCTGCTCACAGTGGAATCCAGACCAAATATTTGTTAATTTTTGCCAATATGATTGAACTTTTGGGGAACTTAGCCTACCTTGTGGCACAACAGCCGTGGGTGGTGCTAGCCGGTCGATTCATCTCGGGAATTGGCGGTAGCTGTGACACTCCCATGTACGCCGACATGGCCAGGACCACCACAATGGAAGAGCGGACGCCTTACATGGCGGTCACCTATGTTGCCAAACAAATTGGTATTGTTTTTGGTCCTGTTTGCACACTTCTGATGCATAAACTGCACTGGACTATAGGTCAATTCAAACTAAGTGTCTACAATGGACCAGGTTTACTCATGGCTGCACTCTGGGCTGTTCATACCATCCTCGTGCTTTTCTTCTATCCCATAGTTAAAAAACCCCCCAGAGGTGGTAGTTACATGAGACCTGCAAATGAAAGCTCGGAAAAGGATAAACTGCTACGACCAACATCAAAAAAGCGGAGATGCTGCGACTGTGACTGCGAAGAATGGAAGCCCTATGTAACTTATCCGGTACTTTCGATGTACATTATGGTATTTGCCACGTACTTCTGTGTAATGAGCTTAGAAACAGTTCTGCCACCCGTAGTAGCAGTTTATTTTAATTGGGATGAAGTAAAAGTGAGCTACGTTTATCTCGGTGCCAGTGGACTTCTAATCCTTATGTGCATAATCCTACACGACCTTTCGAAGTGCATTGAAGATCGCAGACTGGCTTTGGTGGGTTTTATTTGCCTGGTGTGCGCCTACGTTTGGCTCATATTCACAACAGCCTTCATTAATGGACTGACAGTGGAGTTGGGCGCCCCTCTCCTCATAGTTGGGGTGGCGATTCATGTGATCGGGATGCCGCTGGCGTTGGCTGTCACAGAGTCCCTCTATACAAAGATGGTTCCTGCAAATGATCTTGATCGTGCTCTCTCCTACTTGCGTTGTGTTAGCAACTTCGCCTTCCTCCTCGGTCCTCTTGAGGGCGGCATTTTCGTGGAATACGCCTACGTTGTCTTTCTCGGTAATTTCCTCATCTGTGCTCTCGGGCTGGGTCTACTGGCTGGAAGATACCGGTTATTTCAGCCACAGCTAGCCAATAAAACAGTGGATCGTGAGGCATACAAGTCTGCCAAATGAAACAATTAGTGTGCCGTGTGCAAGTAAGCTGTCTCTTCTGCTCGTACTCGTTTTTGAAATTTGCTTCCTAGGGCAACTGTTTTATTCATTACGTCTGTTTCTATTTGGCTATAGTTTGAGACAATAAATTATTCATGCTTTCCCTTGAATATTCATCACATACATCATACCGTTTCGTTTTCATTAATATTCGCTCATACAAAGCTAAAGATTCGAGCGTTTACCCTCCTGCTCCTTCACACCGTTGAGAATGCTATTTTAGTGGTATGAGCTATTGTCCACTCTTTATACCTCTAATAGGCTAAACTTTGAGTCCTAACAGAACTTGGTAACGCATCAAGTCGCACACCCTTGGTCATTGGTGGACAATGGCGGTGCTACATTGTAATGCAGCAATTGGAAAGGTTTATCACTTTATGAACAATTCAGATGTCGTTGGAAATGAACGACAATTGATTGTTGCCAAAGTTTCCCTCATGGCAAGGGGAGTACTTACTACCAAGTAATAACCAAACTGAGTTACTATTTGTACCGGCACTATGCGTAAATGAAGGGTGCGCATTCATTTGATGTACTGCAACACAAGGCTTCAAACGCGCTATTGCGATTAGATTACATGGAAAAGGCCTCTACCATCTTATGCGTTAACAGTTATGCGTAACTCATTGAGTTTGTGAATGACTTCATTCCACCTAATAGCGCATGACGCGAGCAAGCCGACTACTGTTTTGGCACCTCCAGTGGACTATTTAATTTTTCCGGAAAAATTTCACGTTTGCCAAGTTGTCTTTCCAAAGAAGGCATTGGCAAAGCTATGCGCTATTCTTGCGAACAGACTACCAAATCGAATTACCTTTTTAGCTATAAAAGACGGTTTATGGTAAAGCTTAAAATTAAAGTTGGAATATGCTCCCTTTGTCTCACCAATCGTCCTTGTGGAACGTGACAAAAGAACCGGTTGGCGTTGTGAAACACCACAGCTAAGAGCACTTTGCAAAAAGATTGATTTGGGAATCATAGGAAACCATTCATCTTTGTTTGTACTGAACCTTTGGAGAATCTCTCATGGCTGCGATATCCCAGAAAATTGTCATTAAGTTTAATCACACAAACTGCCTTCAACCGAAGGACTAACTTTACTATTAATCAGCCTTCCATCACTACGAATATTTGTGACTGCGCGTTGGAATGGAGACAAATTTCGTGAGGACTAGTCGAAACAAGCATCGCCTCAGGAGTGTAGTATTTAGTTCAGCAGCAACGCAATTGGCGATGTTGTTGCTAATTCATGTAGTCAAAACGGAAGACTTTCAGTATTTTCTTTAACTACGAGTAAAATAATGATGGGAAGCTTGGGCTGTACAATTTATGTGGCTAAAAGCTTACTAATGTGCTGAAGTGAAAAAGTAAATTGATGTTGTAAAAGCGCCTGCAGAAGTGATGCCGCTGGTGCCTCTCTTGCGAGGTTGCAGCCCAGTACATTTTAGGTGAAACTATGACTGCCTTTAGTTATAAGCATTGAAAAATCTAGGAATCTGGTGGTAAATGTGAAAGCTTTGGGCTTTCAGTTTGTTGCAACAAAATGTGAAAGAAGGGCAAGTCAATGTTCAACAGTAACCTCTAGGACAAGTATGAAATGCGTGGGGGTTGTTGTCGATGCTAATGTGGTTACAACTGGTGATATGAATAGGCAAAGTTTAGATTGGGAATGGCGATCTTGAAGGGAAGGAAGGAGATTTTTACGAGTTATGATTCCGAATGCTCTGCACAACTCGCAGGTTTGAAGCAAGTCCAGTTATGTTTTGCGTCCGGTAGGAAGACTAGGAGAAGTAAAGCTGAAATAAATGAAGTTTTTAGTGATCGTGTACCCCTTAGCATTTTGAAGGGATGTACCAAAAACGCGCCCAAATCAACCTACCTAGAGCATTTAGCGCTGAACAAATATATAGGACGGCATCAATCTTTGTGAGAACAGGGAAGTACGTGGCAAATAACGTGCAAGAAACTCCCCCAAAAATCTAAAAAAAAGTGTTGTAGAAGTATTCTTATTGTTGCAAGTCTTAGCTCTCAAAAAGTCCGCCTACAGAAGCTGTATTGACACATGCGAAATTGAAATCCAAATATTTAATGCCAAACGCCTTAGCCACTGCCACGAAGATAAGCACTCTGTACCCAGCAATGCATAGGACCGATATGAAAACCAGTATTGCGTAAAAGAATTTGATCGGTCGAAGCTCCAAACAATGCGGAAATACTGCAAGTCCAATTGTCCAGCACAACGCCACACTCAGAAGGGGAGTCTCAATTGAAAACAGTCATTTTTTGAGAAGAACAGGCAGTCATGCAAATGGAAATCAGGTGGGGCGAATTTATTGGGAATTCGAAGTAAGTGGTTTGGCAAATTTCAGTCTCTGTTGCATTAATCAACAAATGAGCACAACTAGATGGTTTATGGAATTTGATCTTTATTATTATAAGTAAGCAGTAATTCGAGTAACTCTACTTTGTAAGAGAGTTTATCCGCTAAGAAGCTCCATAGTATGAAGCCAACCAAAAGGAATGCTCCCGATGATTCGCTCACGATGCGGACGAAAAGCCTTTCCTCAATGGTGGCCAAACCGATGGACTGTAAAGTAGACGCAAGCTTTATGCGGCACATGTCTGTGGTTTGCTTCATACACTATTCGATAAAAGAGCAAACTTTCTATGCTCAATGAAAAGGGAAGCAAAAAACGAATAGGATGCGTAGTGTTCATTGGCAAAAAAGTTGGTGCCCATAAGGCAGTGACCTTCTTTCAGAATGCTTCATTTTTAAAAAAGCAGCTTATGAACTCGATTCACCCACTTTGTAAACATCGAGAAATGTCGTTGATGGGAAACATTCAATCATTTGTAAGACCCAAAGAATGTAGAATCCTCTACAATGTACGAGGTCTCTGGGGTTGATGTCAAGACAGGTAGAATTATCCGTTTTCCTACAATAAAACAAAATTTATTTGTGCTCAAAACTCTTAAAAGTCATTGCAAATGCAGCGAACAAATGCTGCTGCAAATGGAGTATAATGTGTCGGTCGGGCGTGTACGCAGCGCCACGAGCGATCATCAGCTCAGTGTACGGTGATAAGTGGACGGAGCGAGCGAAAGGGCTCAGCGAACTCCAAGTTCCGCATAAATGCATGCAGCACAATTCCAGTGAAATGCGCCACGTCAAACAGGGCAACGAAAATGACAGAAAACTACTCACAAAGGTGCCCCTCCATTTGAACGATCGCCTTCATGGTTGAATTCATTTAACTAAAGTGAACATATTTGTATTTGCATTCGTTGAAAGAAAATTGCAATGTGTACATCCATTTCATTCGCCGCTATCGGTTCGCTTACTTCTTTCTTCTTCATGAGGACAGTTCCCAGCATCTGCACAGCAAATATAATGGAGCCGTTGATCATGAAGACTGACGGGATTTTATCCGGCGCCTCGCAGTTTGTCCCATTGCTAAAATAATCCACTATTGTAACAGTTATGCACCCATTTTCCAAACATTCAAATCTACCAGAACATGTCAACTTTAAAATTACTACGGCTTGAGCATCTGAACAAGATGATAGGCGTCAAATGAACTGTGAGCATTCGTCTGACAGATACAAACACTGCAGGAACTGTCGCATTTCTGTAACTGTGGCTAAGAATATGCCACAGCTCCTAGGCAATACTCCGATCACGCAAATGATGGAAAAGGTGTGGAATCGCATCAGGTCAATCTGAAGTGTATCCAAAAATCCTTTAGGGTAGGAAAGCATCCGTTTCTTTTCCGCCTGGTATCATATGAAGAACAGATGAATGCCATTGTGGTGCATTAAGCTGACTGACCAAATCGCCTCCTTCCAATGTCAAAGATCAAGTGACGTTAAATGAGCAAAAGTTCGCATCCTGAGCGTGGACGACTTACAGAAAGTTGAAGTCGCATTTCGGTGGTTTGACGAGATACGTTTGAATAACGGAAAACAATATGGAACCAACGCCAAGCCCAAAAAACACGGAGCCACAAGCCAAGCATTGGTTATTGGGGTACCACTAAAGGTAAGACGGCAATTAGTGACTGATGTTTGCAACTATAACCAATGCAACTTTTATTCCATGAGCTTCACAATGGGTTCGCTACAAAATCAATTATATTACCTTAACGAAGAGACATTGCCATTTTTGAGAGGGGAATCCCTACAAAAGGCTTATGAATAAAAATGGCATAGTACGTTATTTCACAAACAATTGACGACACCTTGTTTTTAAACGCTACATCGTTGGGTATCCTGCACAGCTCCATTTTGCCATTTTAGGACCATTAATTGCTTAATACGGTTCTGCCATTAGTGATATTAAACTAGTAACATTTCGATGAGGTGCATTTTGGGAAATGCAGAATCCTATGGCAAATACGAGGTCAATTCAGCGGTTTGACCTTCACATTCTGGAAACACTGAGGTGTCTAAACCACTTCTTGTTCACACATCCTATATGGAATTTAATCACGTAAAATCTTTTTCATGTGCAAATTACAACCACCCTAATTAAAGCGTCACTTTACCTCGAGAACAACAAAGGGTGTGATGGAGTAGTTCAGACCGAATCCTATCCCGTACATCACACAATAAGTGAGCATGAAACATGCATAGCCAGATTTAACACTCAGGTGAGACAGTAGTATTCCAAGCCTGTAAACGAAGGCAAAAGAACGACGAAACAACTCCATGATTAGTTTCAAATGGGTTTAAAGATCTATCAATGGATTGATAAACTGTGCTGTTAATGAAAGAGACCGCGCTCGAGGACAATGTTCGTCTGTGGTACCGTTTCCTTAATGCTGAAACCATTTTAACTTGAGCATAATATTATGCAAAATTCCTCTTTTCAGCATCTTTAGTTTTGCAGAGAAATACGTTAACCGCCTCTACGCACTTAACTTACATAGGTTACATAGCTTATGACACAGTTTAAATCTACG